GTAGGAAAACAAGTCTTCGTTACGTAGCACTTATTGTTATTATGTTTTACTAAAGTATTTTCCTTCCAGATGTTGCTGGAAGGAGTGTGCGAAAGACATAAACGCAAAACAGATGAAGTTGTATGTAAAGTCAAGTTCATTCGTCTGTAAATTGTAGAAAATTCTATTTTCTGTAAAAGATTGGCCTAGGTTAGGAGAAGTTAAGTTAGTTTTTTTTTTTTTTTTTAGAATTGCAAAGTTTCAATCAGGTCCGTTTGGACCAGTGTAGTTCAACTTTTGCCAATTCTGGGGGGAAGTATGTAAGGTTTTAAGTTAAACTAACCAAGTTTCTTTTTATTTTAAGTTACCCTTTCCTGTAAACTCTTATTTCAACTTCCCTTCAGAATGAGCGCGCGGTTCAGCTTTATGCTAATTTGTGTTGGAGCCAAGTTTTGTATTTAAGGTTAGTGAGAAACTTCTCAAGTGTGAGAGAGCTTTTAGTCTCAGACCACGTCGGCTCGGTGGACGTTCACCAGAATAGTTAGTATTTAAATTCTTACGCCTTAGTGCTATCCTCAAATACTGATGGAAGTGATTTAAGTGCGTTAGTACTTAGCAAAGGCTTGCTACGCACCATAAATAGGCCAATCTCGCGTTTAAGCTCTGTGACAGCAACTATTTAAATGTCTACTGAAGTTTTACTTTTAAATTGCTTGATTGTTCAAGACCCAAGCGCGATTATTATTTCTTCTGTTATCACTCCCGAGTTGGGAGTTGCTGTAAATAGTAATTTCAATAAAAGGGTCTTTTACACCCTTCTTACGTTGTAATTCTTCTAGAACTCTTAAGAACATAGCTGCATTCAGCTCACTGTTCGAGTCAGGACATTGATACTAACACCATTATGTTTGCCAAAAGTATGCACAGAACATTAGGTCCTGATAAACTATCATAACCTTAGATAGATAGTCTGACTCTCACCTCCTTTCCACAGCCGCCCTTTAAGTAAGGAAGATTGTTAGGATTTAAAGGCATACATATCTTACGGGTACCCTTGTAGTGCAATTGTCAGCATATCCAACTAATTCTGGAACGCTTCTGTGAAAGCAGAACTGATTTTCTCATGTAGTGCAGTTGTCAGCATATCCAACTAATTCTGGAACGCTTCTGTGAAAGCAAAACTGATTTTTTCAAAATTGGTTCTCACAGAAAAAACGAATACACTATAAAATAAAAAAAGTAAAACGAAACCAAAAATTTGAAAGCTTTCAGATATTATATTACGCTTAAGGGGGGGGCGTTTTTTCATTTACGCACACATACACGTTTCGAGAGCATTTGGGCTAACGCCCCTTTGGGCTAAAAATATTTAAAAACAACACATCTTTAGAATTTCCCATAAATAATCTCACGCGCTGAAGATAAAAATATTTTATTTCGTACAGTGTGTTGATTCTGCTCGCTTTGAAATCGTTGAATTTCTTAATCAAAAATTCGTTAACGATTTACAAAATGTGAAATAAATAATAAAACAAGTTCAAAATTCGAGCTTGCAGATGCCCATATTCGGGTGAAGGATTACGTTGTTCGTAATTTGATGGCTCTATGTAGCGTTGTTTTTTCACAATGCGAGAAATATACATGTAAAATATAAAAAATACGATGGCTTTGCTCTACACGAACAGGCAACCTCTAAGTATCCGCAATTTCGGGATATTTCGCGCCATGTCAGATTGTTTCTCTCCTCTTGCGCTACAACACTTCGCTGCTCCTTAACCCATCTTTCCTTTGTTAGAATAGTTATGACGCAGAAAGACTAAATTTAATCGTACTTCGTTTAAATCACTGTTGAATATGTAATTTGGAGAATTTCATTAAAAATGGTCTACAGGGACAATTGAAATAAAGATATAGAGTCTTAAAAAGTGAAATCCTTCTGTGTCATCATTTCTGCTGTCTTCCACTCTGCCACGACCATCCCCTGATCTGATATAGTTATATCATCAAGCTTGGTAATTCGCGTGCCTGCCGGCCAAAATTTTACATACATACATTCACACAGATTCTTCATTATTTAATTTCTTTAAATATATTACAGGACGATCATATTTTATGGCAACAATTTGAAAAGTGATTCAACGCTTTTTAATGATTTAGAGCAAAATGCCATTTCGAGACTAATAGCCCTTCAGGGCTAACTCTCCTTTGGGCTAAAAATTGTTTTGCTTTTTTAAAGGAGATAGTTTGATATTTTAAATGCGGTCAAATATATAGCGTCTCAAACACTCCTATTATTTAAAATATGCATATGTTCAAGGTTGCAAATCGTCTTATGCATTTCATATTAAATTTCTTTCCTTTCTCCAATGGGTTTTAGTTTATGCCCAGATATTGTAGCTATAAAATATCAAATACGATATAATTGCTAAATAAAATTAAAGCAACAGCCTGTTGCTTAGGAGGAAATTTTAAGAAAAGGGCTTTTCATATCATAATAGAAGCAAACATGATTAGCCTAGCAAAGCATATGATGGTACATTCAATAATAAATATTTTATTAATATTATGCTAATTACAAGAACTATAAATCGTTGTTCCGTATTTCCGGATATTTCGATACAGTTCTCAGTCAATACAACTTTTTTCAACCACTAATAAATGCTTTTATGATAAGTTGTCTGTACATTTATAATGCAATAACTTGAATGAAAATAACCCACATACACATCAAATAAGTGTAAAATGTACAACATACAGATTTACTAAACCTTTGCGTGAAAGTCACGTAAATCCCAAACTAAATATAGTTATCAATATGTATCAATATGATGAATTAATATAATTATATTTAAAAGGATTTCACTACAGTAAAAACGCTTTCACAATTATTAGGCCTAGAGTAAAAGCTTATTAGAGTAGTTCATACTTTTGGAAACGTGAATGTTCAGAACCTGGATTATTTAAAACCGCGTTAAATGTTGTTCTATACTCAAATGCTGAACAATAATCATTCTGAGTTTATTAGAGTGTTTTGAGCCGTAATTCTGTATAAACTGATTAAATTGTGTCTGATATGTAAGTGTGATTAACATCATATGTGTGTAAGATGATGTTAACTTTATCAACAACAACTTTTTACATTTAGCCATTCTAGCCATTCTGATGGTATTATTGCTTAGTAATTCATTAGGATTACTAAGCAATAATACCATCATTTCGATTTCAAAATCTCATTTAGTCTCTTCCCAGGCTTATTGCTGCTGTTATCAGAGCAAAAATTGACGAAGAAATTAATAAGAATTTTTATAGAAATTAATAAGAAACATCAATAAGGCGAAAATAATTTTTACTTCAGTTCTTCGTAGATTTAAGCAAAATTTGAATAAATCAAAGCGCAGTTTGTTAATTAACTTTAAGCTTTAATTAACTTTCCCGTTGATGTTAACTTTTTTGACAAAATATTGTCAATCAAGATCATTTTTTAAATAATTATGTAAAAAAATTAATTTTTACATTTTCAACTTATATAAGCATACGTTTTTCCAAGAGAATTATCTTTTTTCCAAGAATTTGTAAGTACTTAATAATCATATTTACGAATTAGCAGACTCCAGTAGTTAAAACACTGACGGTTATCCAGTAGTTAAAACTATTGAATTCTGGTCTGCTAATTCTTAAATAAAAGTGTTGGCCGATAATCAAATTTTTATTTTTGATTACCATTATAAAAATTTCAACTTCCATAAGTCTCATATTCTTCAAATTAGACATAAGATAATAATAAAAGCGAAAATTATGGGCTTAATTCTAAACCAGGAATTCCCAACGGGGTCCGTGTAGACCTTCTGGGAATCGATGAAAATTTAAAGGGGGGTCACTGATGATCAAGGGGCCGACAACCGGCAATTGATCAGCATAATAATGATCCCATTAATTAAGAAATAAAATCTTTTAATAAAACTGGTAATTAATTTGCTTAATGGCATAAAGTTGCATCAAATATAAGAAAAGAAATCATATAAAACAAAAACAAAAATATTAGGGAGAAAATGTACTAAAATTATATAATCTATTTTGAAAATCAAAAATATTTTTTAAAATATGTATGCAGTGAGAAAACAAAGCACAATAACACAATAAAAAAATCACAAATTAAAAACTAGAACTGAAAACAAGAAACTGGTTGAATATTTTTGAACGAGATGATTTAAAAATTAAATTAAGCCTCTCTGATCTGAGTTATAATTAGAACACTTAAAAAATTTTCGTCTATTCTATTATCAACTAGTTAAAGGAGAAAATGCCACTATTATTAAGCAGAAAAATTGTATACAGTTTTTTTTGGCATTTTTCAAATTCTATTCTTGAATAATAAACCCTTTTGGAATCCATATGTATAAGCCTAATCTATACGTTGCCATTTTAGTTTTCTGCCATTAGTTTTTTGATTTCTATGATTTCCATTCCAAGAAATTTAAAATAAATCAACTTGCCTTAGAAAGTTCCCTAACAAAAAAATAGTAAATATGTTACATTTCGTTGAAACGAATTGTTTTACAACTCATATAATTTCAATTAATGCATAACTTATACATTACGCAAAATTTAAGACTTAAAAAATTTTAATAATTCAATTAGACAAATTAATTGCACATACATGAATTATGTAATTATTGTATTAATTAATGCATTATTTTTAGGAATATTATTATTGTATAACACAGTTTAATAAATGACTTCAAACTATACAAATTTATTTCAAGTAAAGCAAATGAATTACTACTTAAAAAAATGAAAAATAGCATTTGAATAACCATTTTTGCAACAGTTCTGAATCTCGAAAATTGAATAACTCACGAAATGTATTTTATATGCTTCTCTAAAACGTTACCTCCTTAAAAATATGTCTAAATTCTAAATGAAAGTCAAATTAATTACTTTTCGGCAGCAGAACAACTTCGGGAGTTAAATAAACTTTAAACTTAATTAACTGAAACTTTAAAAAAATGTTTGAGGCTCACCTGTACCTAGTTTAGAGTATCCGAAAATAAACTTAGCACGTGCATAGAAGTGAAGGTACTATCTAGAAACAGAAATCTACTTTTTGAAAAAAATTCCATCTCTCCAAAAATGAGAGACGGATAAAATCCCCCGCATCGAAACATTACGAAGAAACGACGTTTGTTTTCACCTCATCGGAGGATGCATCAGGTGTAACTGGCAAGAACCGACCGGCTGGATAAACCTTCTAGGTGCCGAGGTGAGTAGGTGCCGCTCGCTTCCGATGCCAAATTTAACCCCACTCACCCCCCCCCGCGCCAAGCAGAAGAATTGGCCATGTGCCCAGGCATTCATTCGACGTGGCGGCGTACACACCCCCCACGAAGATCATCTTCTCTTTTCGCTGAAATATTTGCACAAAATAGAATGTTTGCGGCGCGTAATAAAACGGAAAACTTCGAAACATGAAACAACGCACGCTGTTGAAAGCCGCTCTGCCTTCCTGACTTGGAGAACAAAATGAATTTATGATTCACTTCAATTTTCTTGAGATATACAATACATTCTGAGAATTTGAAACCTTAAAATACAATATTGCCTAAATTATATATATTATGTACGAACACTGTTTTCAATTATTGCATTGACTCTTCATAATGCAGTAGCAGCTACAAAAATTAAAACGGTATACTTGTTGTACTGAAAATAACAGTGCAGGAGTGATATAAAGATACAAAGAAAACCAATGGATAACTCTGCATCAAGATGCATAATGGAAAGCGTTAAAAATATCTTTTATTAATTAAAATAATTTTGCAAATGTTACAAAAAAACTGTCACTAAAATTAACCCCCTCTCACAGTGGCAATGCACTTGCTCGAAATCATTCATCGGAATGTCCAAACTCATTAATCATTTAGTTTTCTCATCCCCTAGAATGTTGTCTCGGGTGCATCAAAGAGGATAGACCTATCAGTGAAATAAATTACGTTAATTAACAGTATTATAAATTGATAAATAAAATGCATTATTAATCCTACGACTTAGATATATTATTAAAAAGTAAAATAATGATATAAATTATGAGAGGTGCGTTTATTTTTTTTTTCGAATAGTTCAGACTGTTAGACAGTTAAAATTATAATTTTAATTTAATAACATAAAGTAAGGATCATACGCCAAGTCAGTTGACAGTACTTTGAGAACTTTCCAAGTTGTGTAAATAATAAGTGCCCAGGCACCATAATAAGTAATGTAAAATATCAAAAATTAGAAAGATTCTTCTATGGACAATTCAGATTCGTCCACAGATTACTTCTATGGACAAAGTCAGATTCGTTTGCAGAGCACCAAAACTGAGAAGCAACAAGAACATTAGTACCATTTTTTGATGCTGCTTTTGCGGCTATGTTTATCATGAGCGCTTATGCTGGGGGGGAAGCTTTTTTTATGTTTTATTGTGATGAAGATGCATATATATAACTCTGTGAAGATCATTACGACTCTGGCTAAAGATGCTAAATTCAGGACTATAGTTTCGAAGGTTAAAAATAATGTTCTATTTCAGCTGTAGGAATAAAAATAAAGCACGTGCTCGAACGATAATAGTACACAAAACTTTCGAGGAAGTTTCAGGTGAGGAAGGGGGGAAAAGTCATTGACGCCATTTATTGACAAAAAGCGAAAACAATTATGAAATGATTTCTTTAAAAGCTGAAGGTAAAATTGAGTAGGTTGGTATTACATACTGCAAGTATTACTACTTGTACTTTCTATTGAGTACAGTAACGATGCTGTGTGGTTAGGTATCTACGTAGCGGTGGTACCTCCTTCCTCCGCTACCTCCTTCATACCGCTACCTCCTTCATACGAGGTAGCGGTGGCCGCCTGTTAGGTGCCTCCACAATAAAATGGCCACCACTTCTGACCTTAGTAGTAGCCAATGCCGTTATAGGCGAATGCCCGCTATTGGAGAAAAAAAACTTTTCATTCGTTATAAGCAATAAAATCAATATAAGTAAATATTACCAAGTTCAAGAGAGTAAAACTCTTCAGTGTTTCTGAAACTTCGGTATCAGAGCTTCGTATAAGTGGACCTGACTTTATAACAAAAATGGACTTGCCAGGTGTTCTAAGTTGTCTGATTCAAAAGCCATGTGCTCTTCACGTGGCTTACGAGTTCCCTAAAAACACTTATTTCTTTATGTGCAAGTTAAATAATGAAGGATTAGCCTCCCGGATAGCCGTAGCTTATACAGAAGTCTTATAACATAGTTTCAATCCAGCATGGTTCAAGAACTGATGAAAATTTCCTTTTAGCGCAATATTCCTACAATAAAATTTCACGCTTACACGCTTCAACTTTTAAATAGCAGCATTAAGAAGGAAACGTCGTCGAAATTGAAAATTCACGAAATTGACAGATATGTTAATCATACGCAAATTTTCAAAAATGCATACAAAATATTGAAACCGTCAAGGTTTATTTAGCGTAGAATGTGATCTCCAGGTACGGAATATACGACCTTACAGTCATACTTCCAATAAAGTTATTAATGATTAGCGAAGGAATGTTTTACTAAAATGCAAACACTTGGGCTTATAAGGCATTAAATTTAGCTATGCTTACTTCTTTTGTATTATCCGAACAATGATATCACAGACGTATACGATGAGAGACAATTCCGACGATGTAGCAAGCCATTGTAGCATGTCAATTTCAAAGGTCACGCAAGTCCCAATAGCACGAGCAACATATGATCTGGTGCTGCCTTGTTGAAAAATGGCTCCGGGGACATTATGTAGTAAGAACGTTCCTCTGGCTGTACGACTAAATATAATTCCGAGCTGTCAGTGTACTAGAGAACTAGAAGAACAAAGATTTAGAGAAGTTCACCCACTATGGACTATACCACCCTATTATTAGAGAAACAAGACCGAAATAACGTTTAGTATTGTCTAGCCACGTGATCTTTTAATCAATCTCCGACCATCACTGCTTTCAAAACAGAAGCGGGACTCATTGCTGAAGAGGAGAATCCTCTGTTCTAGCTTTCCTTTGCTGCCTGGTCATGCACATGATAATCTTTCAGGATAATTTAGATGGGTAAAAGAAAGCCTGTCACTGGTAAGTCTGGGCTGCCATCCAAAGTCGTTGTTATTTTCACTATCACTAAGATAATTTGAACAATGCTAATAGCTGTGCATAAATGTGTCGTGACCTACCTGAATGCTAACACATCTGTGAATTCAGGGGTTCTATCCTCTCCGTTTGGGACAGGACATAATAATTGACACTTCATCGAACTCGAGATATTTCTCTATCAAACCGTAAAAATAAGCAAAACATAATTAGTACATTCTGTCAAGTTTTTGTAGCATTGAATTCTGATTGGAATAAAAGGAATTAAAACTTAAGAAAACTTGATTGCGTGGTCTCACATATTGTATAACTCCTCTAATTTTCTTTTTCTTTAACTTGAATAATCTCAGAAATTATCATATTATGAAAATATCATAATTTCAATGTAGAGCGGTGAATTATTTAAAATAAGATCTTTTCACTGAAAGGAAGAAATTAATAGAAACTTTATGACACACAGTTAAGAGGGAATTTCTTAAACGCTTAGCTTCATACAATGAAATTTATAGGAATCTCTCAACTAAAAGCCAACTCAATAAAATAACTGACTTATGACTTTTCCCAAATAACATCCTCTTTTTCTGAGATATCTTGAGCATTATCTTGACTTTTGTGCTGTATGAGCACAGAAGTCAAGATAATGCTCAAGATATCTCAGAAAAAGAGGATGTTATTTGGGAAAAGGGGCTCTTGATTAGTAGTGACAATGAAGAAAGCATTTAATTTCTAACACTTCAATCAATTTTTTTCATTAAACATGCTTCCATTAGTTACGAAATTAAAATAATGTAGTTTATTTTTGACTTTCGGAAGCTAACCAGAGTTTAAATTGAGCCGAAGCCCGACTCCAATGCTCCTCAGCTTTTTTAATAAAGACTGAACGCCGGCACTTAATTTATGCAACTCATGCATAATTTCAGCAAAAAACACTTTGGATCAGGAAAATTTTATTTTAATAGCAAACCTACCTTAGAAACCGATTTTAACTGAATATAGTATGTTTTTCTCTGGGGAACAAGCCCTTTGATGGTCAAGTTGAGAAAACAGAAACGCCCCCCCCCCATGTTTCATTTACATAGAACTTACTTGTGTTCTCAGTTTACAACTCGGAATTTGGAGGACATATCTGAGAACACTAATCTGCCTGTCACACTATGCTTGATAGCTAGAATTATAAATGCAGGGGTCTTGTTCAGAAAATATTGCCTCCTTTATTTCTTTGTTTTTACACCTACACATTTGCATTTCCCTTCGCCATGCTTTTTCGTCTCAAAATTCCTTCCCCCATCGCCAGTAAGCCATTGTGAATCGCCCATCAATCCCCTTCTCGTGATTCTCTATGCCTCCAGCTTCCTTGGCCCAAATCACTTCTAACTCCCCCCTCCCAGTACCTCCAGATCCCAGTCATGGAGCTCCATGGTCCCAGTGTAGGGCATATCCCATCGATAGTACCCACTTCCTCCCTAGTTCTTGAATTCAAGCGTATCTACTTAGTTTTCTTACAACTTCGCGAAATATATCCTACATAATATACAGCGGAAATGACTGCAGTTTATGTCGTATTATTACGCACTAATGTGATTATGACTGTATAAGCATGCGCAATATTTTAACATTTTAAATAATTTGATAATGTGGTGTACCCATATAAAACATTTTTACGGACTTTATAAAATAAAGAAGGATTATACGTTGTTTATTTGACTCATTTATTAGAAATTTCTGCATTATATTATAATGACGAATGCTTAGAAAATCGAAAATGGAACCTTCTACTGCGATTGAACTTCGTGTTTCTGATGAATTTGCTCTGAAACATTTTTCAATTAAAATCCGTATTATTGTCGATACAACGGAATAGTTTCAATTTTATGGCAAGTTATTGTTACAGCGTTATTCACCACGTGTCTCTCGAATTATTGAATTTATTATATAACCATGTATTTATTAAACTGGTTTTTAATATTAGCCTAAAAAGAAAACATTTTTACGTGAACTACCAAGAGCGTGAACTACCAAGAGGTATTGGTAGCTCACGACCGAAGTTTCGGCGACCCTTGCTTTATATCTTACTTAACATAGCCTGAACAGA